GCCTTCTCATTTTAAGTCGTGTGGAGGAGAGAGGAAACAGTGCCCTTGCCTGAGGGTGCACGGCAGTTCTTAACCTCACCTTGCTCGGGTGGAGTTCATTCATTCACTCTGAGCCATCCTTCCTGACCATCTGGGGACAGCAGGCTTAGCATTTTAGGCTTGGGGTCCTGCTGCCCTTATAGGCCTCCATCTCCCCCACAACAGCCTCAAATCTTCTCCAGACACCTGGTCCCCACTGCCAGCTGGGAAGGAATGGGTGGAGGCCTCTGGCACGGCCCTTCTGCAGCACCTGCTGACATGCTGAGCTCGCTCTTCCATGATGCACAGAACGAGCCTTGGGAGCGCCAAAGCTGAGACGGAGAAGGCTTTACCTTCTGACATTCACACTGTGAGGTATGTAGTGTCGCCAGCGGCCAGTGGGGCAGGTTGAGAAGTAGAAAGGTCTCGCGTGTCACATGCTGCCTTCCCCAAAGTGGAGAGGTGCATGGCCTCTGCACACCGAGGTCACTGTGGATGAATGGCTCAGTTCCTGTGCTCCTTCCTGGTGGGTTTGGTGCTCGGCTGACTGTGACCACTTTATTCGCACAAGGGAGGAGACCATGTCGTTCTCATGCTGCATTCCCCAGTATCAAAGCAACGAACCAATGGTCCAGCTGTGTATCAAACAGCCACCTCTGGCCACAGACAGATGGATTCCTGTTGCTCAGGGGGTCACATCCACAAGAGAGGCAACTGAGAGGCAGTGAAGGGACTTCACACGGTCATTTCCACTGCTAGAGTCCCCGATCCCCGACAATCAAGGAAATCTCCAGTCAGGGGTGGGGCCCAGAAATCTCCCTCGTAATCAGCAGCGTCAACATTGTCTTAGAAATAGTTCTTCTGTCCAGTTAAATCATAACTTACTCAAACACTAAAAAGTATTAAAATAGACCTCAACTTTCCCGCTAACTACATTTATATATAATTCCCTGAGAAGGTACCTGTCAACTTAAACTTCACTATTTACAGTTAATACACACCACGTGTGCAAGAAGAGTCCTGAGCTGGCTCCTCTGGGCTGTCAGCAAACTAGGTCTCCTTCCTAAATCGGGGTGGGGACTGGGGCTGTGCTGACACACTGAGCCCCCAGCAGAGGGGCTGGTGAGTCCCGCCATTCAGTCATTCCTGGGGATTTGGAGGTCCTAACCTGACAACGCAGCAGGGCCACCATACTGCCTCTCAAGTGCCCCTTGTTTATATCTAATTTGTTTTTTTAACCTCAGGGCAGCTGGTGCCAGGGCTGAGCAAGCAAACTGAGAGAAGAAAACAAGCAAAGGAAGAAAAGGGAAAAGGAAAAAAGAGGGGTGAAGAGGATGGCATGAAACAAATGTGGTAACAGAGTCAGAGGGGACACTGGTGGCTGTCCACATGAGAAGGGGGGTCACTGCCCATCACCTTCCTCCCACCAAAAGCTGTTCGCCAAAATAAAACCTCACAAATGAAAAACATTCCCAAAGGACACCAGCTGGATTGTCAGGGAGGGTGTCTCTCTCCACCTCGGGGACCAGGTAGCTGGCCACATCTCGGGTGAGTCCCTTTTCCAAAGAGGCAAGCCTAAGAATGGCCAGCACATCAGGTCCACCGACACGAGCCTCCTGGAGGTGGGCTGGCTCATTCACCTTCAGTGAAGGACAAGCAGACAAGCCCACCCACCGGTCCCTTCCCCATTCCACTCCCAGGTGACCCTCTCCATCCAGACAAGCAGTAGCTGTCCTCTGCTCCTGCAGAGCACCACCTCGAGGAGGAGGAGGGACTGAGAGGCTGCTGCTGTCCCTGACACCCGCACTACAATGCACTGTGCCCACCCCTGCCAGGGTCCTGCTTATCTTCCTGCAGCCCACTCCAACAAGACAGAGAAAACAAGAGCCAAAGAGAACAAGGAAAACTAGAGCAAGGGCCTCCCTGCAGTGGAAAAGAGGCTTGGCCACATTTTCCTTGGCTAGCAGATCCGCTTCCACATGGGAAAGTGGGAAGCACTGGGTGTGGCGGTGACAGAGAGGCAGAAGCCACCTGGACCCCACTTGTGGACACTGAAGAAAAAGGCCTCCCCAGGTGGGCCTGTGTGACTGACCCTTCCTTCACCTGTGTCTCTCAGGTTTCACCATGCAATTTCTTCTGCAGAGCTGTCAGAGCTGACCCAAATATCACCATTCTCCTTGCATAACAACACCCATCAGACAACACTGGGAATGTGGCGAGCCCACCTCCAGGTCTGTCAAAGAGAGCTGTGGACTACCTACGCCTGCAGAATTGGAATCGTTTTTTGCAAAATGCATGATATCTGCAGTTATTATGTGGGCATCACAAGCAACAGTGGACAAGCCCCATGGTGGCCCCGGTGTGTCCTGTGTACCTGGGCGAGGCTGGAACACACAGGACGAGAAACCCCAACTTGCCCCCTTGAGAACAGCCTGGGACCTGGAGATCCACCAGAATCTTTGCTATCACACTGCTGACATCCAAGTGGGTTGTGGTGAGGTAGAGGACTGGGTGCTTTTCTGCAAGGACCTGAGGCTTGACAGGGGTTGGAGCTCCACCATTCCCAAAGAGGACTTCCCACCATGGTAACAGGTGAGACTATTTTGCAATCCACAGAGAGCCAGACACCAAGTCAGCCTGGGCAGAAGCTGCCTAACACTGGCTGTTTCAATGACACACATTCTACACATTAGGCCTTTGTAGGCACTCAGGCTGGAGTCCAGAAGAAGAACTAAAAGTCAGCAGGACCTCTCCCATCCCCAGGGAGAAGCTACAGGCTACAGTGTGGTCACCTGGGAACTTTAGAACACTAGCCCTGAGAACCTACAGTAGGAGAAGGGGCTGGAAGCCTTTCCATGTTACCAGTTGGCTCTTGGGGGCAGCTGGCATTGAGAATCACGAATCAGAGGCTATTGGGCACTGCCTGGCTAGACCCTTGGCTGACAGAGATGAGGGTGGGACTCCTGGCAAGCTGAGTGATGCCACCATGAATTATAGACATGTGGAAGGAAATTCCACAAGGCCTGGGGACACAGGAAAGACAACTTTCAAAGATAACTGAGGTCAGTCACAGCTCTTGTCTCCTCCAGGAGGTGTAGCCAATCCCAACCCACAGCCAACATATCAGTCATTGTCAAGATGGACCCTGAGCTCTGGGCACTCACCTTGGTGCCTTGAGATTAGGGAGAAATTCCCTAAAATCTGATTTTAAACACCGTATTATCACCACTCCAGTCTCCTGGCAGCCTGAGAGCAACCCAATGTTCTGTTTAATGCAGCTTGGGAAAGGCCAGTGTGGAATCCCTGTCACCCAATGCCAGACAGTGCCAAGAGGGAAGGAATAAGGAGAAGTCGGTGCCACCCCGTCCCCATCTCATGATGGGGACAGAGACACTTCACAAAGTACCCAGGGCTGTGGTAAAGAGTTCTCAAGTCGGCCTATAATATTTAAGTCTACAGCTTCTGAGTATTAAGTTAAATAAATAAAGTGCATATGTGAGAGACACTCTAATTCTCAGGGCTTTGGAGATAAAAGTACAGTCAGTAAATGCCCACTGAGAGCGTGGCACCCAGGGCAAGCCACAGGTGTGTCCTGTCCAAGTTCCCACATCTTGGAAATTCTACACAGTTAACATGAGGATGAACTGAACTCCAGAGACGGTCATCAAAGGAAAAATAAAATCCATACCAGGGGACCTCTGGACGAGTCTGGAAGGGAGGCCCACCCTGGGAGGAACGGTCCACTCCAGGAGAACAGGTTTGCTTAATATTCCATGCTAATCACTTGTTTTTCTGAAACTCCCCTCCCCTCCCCTAAGCAATTTGCATCATTCTGCCTTTCTTGCCCTTTCTGCATCTTTTTTACATTTTAAGGATATCTGGATTTATCTAAGAGCACGTGACTTAATTTTGTATTTCTACTAATTAAATTTTCCCCATCTTATTTTTTTATATCAAGGTTTTAGTATTTTGAAGATTTGTCTAAAACCCCTTGCTTAAAACAGGCTTAGTTCTAGCAATAAATATTTATTCACGCACTGTTTCATAATAATTTGACAATGTTTTTCTTCATTATTACTGTCTAGGCAAGAGTGCTTTAAAAATAAGATACAGCCAGTTGTGGTGGCTCACAGCTGTAATCCCGGCTACTTGGGAGGGGGAGATCAGGAAGATCGCAGTTTAAGGCCAGTTCAGGCAAAAAGTTAGCAAGAACCCACCTCAACAAGGTAAGCCAGGCATGGTGGGTCGCTTCTGTAATCTCAGCTGCATGGGAGGCACAGGAGGGAGGATACCAACGCCAGCCCTGGAGACTCTATCTGAAAAAAATAACTAAAGCAAAAAAGGCTGGGGGCTTGGCTCAAGCAGTAGAGCACCTGCCTAGCAAGTGGGAAGCCTTGAGTTCAAACCCCAGTACTGCCCAAAAAAATTAAAATTAAATAAAAATAAGATACAATGAAATCTGATTCCTCTATCTCGCTGGATATTTTGCAACAAAGGCAATGCCCCAATCAAATGGAAACATCAAGTTAATATGAAAATCCAGTGCACAAGCTCAACCACAAACTGGAAAGGTTAAGGCCAAAGCCAAGGGCAAAAAGAATTGTGTGAATTCATACGGCCATGGCAAATACTTATTGCTAGAATCAGAATTTTAAACAACGGGTCTTCAAACGCACGGATTAAAGCTGCCTTACATACAAAGGGCCCCAGTGCTCGTAAAATGCTGAAACTTTAACAATGGTTAAAAATACAAAATTATCTAAAAAGTGCCCTTTGAGAACTTGGTTTTAAAACTGGGGTTCTTTAAAAAGGGGGACTTTTAGGTAAACTGCTCACTAGGTGGCCACTGTTAGGGGAAGTGGTGTTAGGCAAATCGGCTGGCGCTGCTCTCCATTCTCGCGGACGCTTCCAGCCGAACCAAGGCTGTGCGGTGCCCGTGGCGGCACGTGACCTTGACCTTGACCCTCCGGGCGGGGCTGTGTAGGTCGGGCGGCACGTGACCGTGACCCAGCGCAGGTGCATCGCGATGCCAGGCCTTCTCAGCGCGGCCTGCGCTCGCGCTCCGCCCCAACCTCTGCCCTTGACCCCTTCACGTCCTTTTCCTCCAGGGCGGCGCCCGCCGTCCCTTCTGCGCCTCCGCCAGGCGCTTCCGCTCCGCCTCCTCCGCCTTCCTCTTCTCCTCCTTGGCCTCCTTGTACCGCCACTTGGGGATCTGCAGGTGGCCGCTGTCCTTGGTGCTGCCCTTGGCGGCCGCGCGCTCGGGCTGGAAGGTGGGCGCGGGCGCCTTGCTGACGCGGACCCTGGGGACCACCACGCCGGGCCGCACGCTGCCCCTGCGCAGCAGCTGCAAGGGCAGGAGGCTGGCCTTCCGCGGGCCGGGGGCGGGGGTGGCGCGCTGGACCCCCGGCTGGTGGGACGAGGGGAGACCGGCTCTTCCTTCGGCCTCCTCCTCGGAGGTCGGAAATTGCAGCTCTGCGCCCTCGACCTTGCCCCTGTCCTGGGCATGGGCGCCGTGGCTGTCCCTAGCTGCCAGGATCTCTGCACGGCCAGTCGCCTCTTCCCTACACAGGGGGCGTTCTCAGGACACACGGTCTGGCAGGCGATGGCCACCGCAGGGCTGTAGAGGCTGGTGGTCATCCTGACCATGTGGTCAAGCACTCCCCCGTCCTCCAGGCTGTGGCCCGAGCGGGAGGTCAGGGTGGCCCGCAGGAACTGGGCGAGCCTCTGTAGGCAGTTTTTGGAGCCCCCAGGCTTGAGGACAGCGTCGGGAGCCAGCGGCAGTTCCGGCTTGTACTTTTCCCCAAACTGCTCCGCGCATGGCCGCTCCAGCAGCCTCTGCATGACGCGCACGGCCTCCGCCCGGCCGGTGAACACGGCCCATTCCTGAGGCGACATCCCCCGGCGGGGGTCCCTCGCGTTGACATCTGCCCCTGAAAAACACAAAGCACAAAGAGCAGTGGGTGTCTACAGCGGGAACTTTTCTCTGTCACCGGCAAAGGATGGAGAAAATCAGAACTCCCTAAATCTAACAGCAGGCTCTGCCTCCATTCAAATCCGCCAGCTCCTGACACTCTGCTTTGAAATTTGCTAACGGTGGCTTATGTCTCCTAAATAAAAGCCTGTCTGACTTCAGCACCAAATCACAGCATTTGGTGGTGGGGGGGAGGCGACTGGTACTGGGTTTGAACTCAGGGCTTCACTTGCTGGCATGTAGTGTACCCCTGAGATAGCCCCCGACCCTTTTAACTTTGGTTATTTTCGACGTAGGCCCTTGCCAGGGCCGGCATGGTTCGTGTTCCTCTTTGTGCTTCCCGAAATAGCTGGGATGACAGACTGCACACCACCATGCCCAGCCGCTGGTTGAGATGAGGTCTCCCCAAACTTTTCCCTGGACTGGCCTCCAAACGTGATCCTCCCAATCTCTGCCTCCTGAGTAGCTAGTATTACAGGTTTGAGCCCCAACACTTGCCTTTACTGGACAGCAAAGGTGACCTAGGCTCAACTGAATGATGCCACTAGAATTCTGAACATGGCAGCAGCCAGAGTCCCTTGCAAAGCCCCTCTCTCTGGCATCTTGCTGGAGGGCTGCTGTGGGTCCTGTTTTGTGGGAAGTGGTGGTCCTTCACTTCCCACACAGTGGACAGCTGTGGTGTGCACAGTGGACTACTGCAGGACACAGGACACATCTTACTTGTGTTTGTTTCCTCAACACATCTAACCCTGGTGAGCATGAAGCATGCATTAAATAAAGGTTCCTTACAACACAAAAGGTGGTCACAGTGGCTGAGGGATCTGCTGAGCTGCAAAGCCAGTAGTGGACAGCAGAGAGCAGGTCTCATGTGTGATGGCCCACATTCAGCTCAGTGGACCTCCCCTCCTGCAGGGCAGGTGCGATGAAGGGTTTTCTGCCAGGCTAGGGTACCCAGTAGTTTAAAGGAACACTAAGCTAGGTGCTGGCCTGAAGAGATTTGTTGTCAAAGAGGTAACATTCCAAAGTGGGCCTCATCCAATCAGTTGAAGGTCTTAAGAGCAAAGACTGAAGTTTCCTGGAGAAGAAAAAGTTCTGCCTCAAGTCTACAGTCTGTGGGTCCACCCTACAAATTCTAGACTTATCAACCCCCCCCACCCCCCGCTATTCCATGAGCCAATTCCTTCAAGTGCATCTCCTAATTACATCCTACCTGTTCTATTTCTCCAGACAACCTTTCCTGATGTGTCCTGTCTTCCTCATCCTAGTCACTTCCTGATCCAGTCCCCTGAAATCCCACAAAGTTCAACTTCCACTCAACTCGGTGAAACCTGCATAAACTTCAACTTATTTGTATAGAATTGCTATTTGATTCATGCTAGTCCAAGCTCAGCCCCACATACAGTTAAAAATCACTTGGGATTTCAAGTCCCATTAGTCATAGCTCTACTGGCAAAGCAGTGTGGAAAACTAGGACAATTATCCCATCTGTGAGGAACTGGGGACAGGGCCCGGCAGAGGCGTCGTCATTTGGCTCCCACACAGATCCAGGTGTCTGACTTGTGGAGACTGAGCTGAGAGCTCTCAGCCACGTCCTCGCCCTGTCCACCCATGGCAACCTCGTGGCCCAGGTGGTCCTAGCTCACCTGAGCTCACCTGCTAAAGATCTTAAGTCTGTGACATATTAAAAAAAAAAAAAAAGCCATCTTAGAGAAAGTGGTAATTATTTGGAACTGGAGGAACTCATTAGTTAGAGTTCAATTTATAAACTGACTAAAATGAAAAGGCGACAGTAAAAATGTCATTGCAAAAAATAGATGACACATTAAGCCTTAATTGCATGTCACTTAAAAAGGGACAAATTGCAAAATTAAAATCTTAATGAACACCATGCAAAAGAGACATTTTTCAAATGCTAATGGAAAATGAAAGGAACAGCTGTCTAAAGCTTGGCACCCTTCTTCCATTGTCCTCCTACCTTCTCAGCAGAACCTCAGAAAACACAAACACTCAAAATAAAAAACAAGGACCAATCTGACAGCAGGACAGTCCTAGAAGCTGAGTCACCATTTGTGAGTTAAGGGATCACTTCCTTAAGAAACCTCAGTTAAGGGTCATACTGACGGGATAGTGCAACTCAGTTATGAGTGACAAGCACAGCTGCCCCTTGGTATCCACACGGGATTGCAACCGAGACCCACTCTGATATCAAAATCTGAGGTTGTGCAAGCCCTCCTATAAAATGGCTTAGTGTTTGCATATCACATCTTTCCGTACACACTGTCACCTCTATGTTACTTACAGCTCGTAATGCAATGTAAATTGTCCTATACTGTACTGTTAGGGAATAAAGGCAAGGAGAAAGATCTGCACGTATCCAGCACAGATGCTTTTTTTTTTTTTTGGTGGTACTGGGGTTTGAATTTAGAGCCTCGAGCTTGCTAGGCAGGCAGGTGCTCTACAACTTGAGCCACTCTTGCTAGCCCTGCTTTGTGTTGGGTCTCAAGAACTATTTGCCAGGACTGGCTTCAAACCTCAGTCCTCCTGATTTTTGCTTCCCAAGTAGCTAGGATGACAGGTATGAGCCACCGGCACCTGGCACTGATACATTTTTAAAGATATTTTCTATGCCCCCAGGAAGGGGCAGGTGAGCTACAGGATTCGTTCCCCAGGTCCCATCCTTTGGGGGCATTTCTAAGATGTCCTTCTCCATCTCACAGAGGGCCCAGCAGGGCTGAGGCCCAGTCGCCCACAGGGTGACCTGCTCAGGAGCACCTGTCCACTGATTTACCTATCATCCCTTCCCAACCTTATTCCCTCCCCACCATCCCTCTTTACTGAGTTCACCTTCTAGAAAAACCATTTGTCCCCAAGTCTTTCTCTAAGGTTTTCTCAGAGAGGAATTCCTGACTTGCAGTTTTTCTCTGCAATTGAAACAATTCCAATGTGGCAAATTCTCAGATCACAAGAAATTTCTGCTTTCCTGTTTTACAAACAGAAAGCAGCTTCTGTGGTGACACAAATGATCTGGCTTGTAGAAGTATGTAGCTGGCCCCTGAGACAGAACGACGGGCCATCAGAGGGTCTGCTCTCTGTCCCTCATCTTCCTTTTACTCTGCTTTGTTTCTGGGAATCACAGGAAGACTCAAATTTCCATGGCTTGTTTGTCTTCCCAGAGGCGGTGGCAATGACACAGCACTTCAGGTAGAAAAGCAAAGTAAGTCTGGAACCCAGCAAACTCCACAAAAATATCACGTCCTTGACACTCAGAGCCACTGATTTAAATAGACCTGTCACTTGGGGGTATTAACATTTCACTGACATTCCTGTGTCATCTTCTGCAGCATAGTGACAGGATGAGGAAGCCAAAATCCAATGGACTGACAGATCAGAACCTGGCTACAGTTTTTATTAAAATCCAAAGTCTAACGTTATTTTGTTCTCCCTGGCAATGCAGATAAGAGCTGATCTGTGCCTGTATGTTACAGACTGCAGGAAAGTCTAAACAGTTTAAGGGAGCTCCAATTCAATCACTCATCATAAATGGACATGATCCCCACTGAATAAAATTATAACTCAGGCCTGGGAAATGGCTCTAGTGGTAGAGCAAAAGACCCTGAGTTCAATCCCTAGTAATGAGTGAGGGGGGGAAAAAAACAAAACAAAACAAAAAACCCTTAGCATGACCCAGCAAGACCCAGGGTTGGACCCCAGTTCAGGACCACAAAAAATAATGCTAGTAATTGTAAGAGGCACTCAAGTTGCTCTTGCTGAAAAGCACTGACTCCTTACTTGGTCCCACAAGTTAACTAAAAACAGGAGAAGCTTGGCATCCCTGCCTCCATTTTGTGTCTGTCTTTGCTGTAAGCCATTCTCTTTTCAGTCACTTTGCAATCACCTTGGATTCCAGAAAGGAAAGAACTGATAACATCTTCATGACAATGAACTGGAGCCATGTGCGGCTGCCACCCTCCCAGTGAGGACAATTATCCCAAGAATCCTCTCAAACAGGAATCAGTTTACTCTCTCCAGGTGATAACTTCCCAAATCTGGACCAGACCACCTGCCTGACCAAGATTGCTGGCCCCTGGCCCCACCAGTCATGAGACAACAAAACCACACCTGTGACTGGGACTGTTTAACTATGCATACCTTTGTCCCCCGTCCCCAGTTCTTTTGTCTATTTAAGCCTATAGCTCATGTCTGTACCTTACAGACGGCTGAAAGTGAGCTGAGTGCTCACTGTGCCTCTTCCCACGGCATGTCCTGAACCGTGTAATAAACCTTCTTTCTCTGCCTTCACCAGGCCTCTTTATTTGGCATTTAGGGACGGGTGGCCGGACCTGGCATATCAAGAGTTTGGGCCTTTGGTCCAAAACTCTGATTTCATCATTTAAAAAATAACAAAACTGAAACTCAGAACTTCAACTCAGTAATGTTTGTGCTTTTGCTTTTAAAATTATCACAGCGTGGCCATCCTGCAATCAGCCACTGGCTCTCTTTCTTTGGCTATACGTAAACTGCTGAAGGATGAATCTAAAAAAAGAGCTCATTATCCATAGAGACCACTCCTGTAATCCCAGCACTCAGGAGACTGAGGCGGAGTTTGAGGTGAGACCCTGTCTCAAAAATAAATAAATAATCTGAAATCTGTTTTTACAGTTTTTTTGGTAATCTGTGCCATGAAATTTCAAAACTACCAAAAATTAAAAGAACTTTTATATTCAATTCTTTTTTTCTGGTATTTTAATTAAAAAATAATAAATAAATAAATAAATAAATAAATGATATACTCAAGCTATTGGTATCTTTCGATACTTTAATTTTTCTTACCATTGATATATTTAAATGGAAATAAGATATAAAATAGTTGCACAATTTTTAAAAATATCTAAATAGGCATCTTATCTAGCAAACCCTGGGAAGTCATTTCTTCTAAAACATACATATTCGCCTGTAATCCCAGCCACTTGGGAGGCTGAGATAGAAGAACTGCCTTTCAAGGCCAACCTGAGCAAAAAAAGCAAACAGCAAGACCCTGTCTCAAAAGGACAAGCTGGCTGTGGGGTGCATGCCTATAATCCTAGCTACACGGGAAGCACAGACAGGAGGACTATGGTCCAAGGCCAAAAGGGCCAAAAAGATGAGACCCTATCTGAAACATAAAGCAAAAAGGACTGGAGTGTGGCAACTGCTTAGCAAAGGCAAGACCCTGAATTCAAACCCCAGTCCTGGCCCGACAGAATGGCTCAAGTGGTAGAGCGTCTGCCTACCAAGTGTGAGGCCCTGAGTTCAAACCCCAGTACCAGCAAAAAAAAAAAAAAAAAAAACTTGTACATATCTTTTAAAAAGGAAAATGAAACTCACTCTTAAGCTACCTTAGGAGTGACAGTAGCAAATGAAGATATTCTAGAAGTTAAACACGCCAACCAAAGCCTTGGGGGCAGCTCAAATGCTCCCCGAGAAAGGCGTCACATTGGCAAGAACACAGAACAAGCTGGAAAGGATAAATAAAAGGCAGAGTTGTCTTCTTACTTCTCCTCACCCTTTCCCACCTCAATCAGTCCATCCGTGGTTCTCAGTGGGCAGCAAGCCCCCCACCCCGCTGGGGACATCCATCACTGACTGCAGACAGTCTGGGTTGTCACAACTGTAAGGCAGAAGACAGAATGATGCTACCCATCGTACAGCAGAGGGGCACCCCAACAACGAAGGACCCCAGGGTCACCCCTCCATAAGCAAGCCTAAGTATCTCATCACGAGGGTATCTTTCAAGGAGAAAAATGTACTCTTATTTTTCCATTCACTTAATCAAGGCCTACTAAATGCTGAAATTCACCAATAATGGTTATGGTGACACAACCATAACCAACACGTACTGAAGGCTCCCTCCATGCAAGGCTCGCCCAGGGTTGTTCCAATGTGAACTCACTCACTCCCCACTGTGGCCTCCCACGGTGGGGGCTGTCACCAGCCTCGTTCTATAGAAAAGGCAACTGAGGCCCAGAGTGGGAAGTGACTGACTCACGTACAAAGATGGAGTAGAGGGAGAGCTGGAAGCAGGGTCCTGGTGTCTGAGCCGTTTCTACGACCTCCCTGCTCTGTACCAAGTTCATTTTGGGGGGGGAGTGGGGACACATTAAAGGATACTGAGCTCCTGAGGAATATTCTAGATTTTGATGGGGAAGAGCTCACCAGAGCAGGCAACAGGGAAGAGACAGTCCATAAGCCTAACGTCACATTTGTAACCAAATAACAGAGGGGTGGCAATGCTGACACCGAGCCCTCGCACAGGATGGGAAAGTGTTCCTGTGATCAATGCCTGAAACTCTCGGAGGCCTGGGGAAAGGAGAACCGACAGAGGTGGGGAAACACAGTGATTAGAAGGCAATTGATCCCCCCCAAAAAAGAGTTAGCAATTCAAATGAATTTGTCAGGGAAAATGTACTTGACGTGACTGACACATCAATTTTGGTTGAAAAAGGAACTGACTAAAGAGGTACACTTCAGAACACTCAATTACACCAGATCCTCAAGGGCAAAAGCAGATGAAGCCACCGCCCAACACGAAAGCATCTCACAATCTCCACTGATCTCCATTAATTAGGAAGGACCGTTTGTCACTGAAACAGGACAGGCAGCTCTCAGCTGATATCTTGCTTTTAAAACATGAAACTGCCACTGAATCAAAGCACGGTCAGTGTGATTAATTTTATTTTCTCTACAGGCTTTCCATGTTTGAAGCCTGTGTCCTGGTCCACTGTCCTCACATTCCCTTAGACACTCAGGTTAAACAGGAGGGGGACAAAGTCCAAAGCTGTGACTCCTACAACCCTGGACTAGTCCTAAGAATAACAGCCAAGGTCAGGTTGGTGGACACCGTACCACGTCATGAATGACAGGTCAAGACAGAAACTGTCACAGGGTAGAGGAGACCGGGAATATGTGGTAACTAAATTGGGACCCAGCCGGGGTCCTGGAACAAAAACGGGACATTAATGGACAAACTCTGATCCCACCCTGTGATAAGTAGGTGGGAGATGTGCCTCCGTCTGAATGTTGGTGTCCCCAAAACTCATTTGCGAGTATGCAAGGACTCTGTGATGGCATTAGGAGATGGGACCTTTGAGGGGTGATGAGTCATGAGGGTGGTACCCTCTTAAACAGGATTGGTGCCCTACTAAGAGGCTTTCAGGAGGCTCCTTGCCCCTTCAGCCATGTGAGGACATTGCAAGAGGGAACAAGCCTTCCCCAGACATCCAACCTCCTGGTGCTTTGGACTTCCCAGCCTCCAGAACCGTGAGCTGTTGTTTATAAATTACCCAGCCTGCTGTATTTTGTCGTACAGGTGGGCATGGACTAAGACTATAGCACCTCTTCAGGAACTTCAGCAAGACTGGCTGAACCCAGGGGCAAGAAGAAAAATAAAGACAAATTAAAATAAGAAAATTAGCAATAGCAAACAACATACAGTAAAATAACAAAATTGGTAATCTATTGAATGTTAACTCCGTATCCAACATTACACAGCACTTTACGTACATTTTCTCATTTAGTTTTCAAAATAACCTGGGGAAGTTGCACAAAAATGATTTTTTATTTCGGTTTCAAGTCAGGAAAAGAATTAGGGTGACAGGAATGTTGCTTAGCAGTTCATTAAAATTGTATGGCCCTTGAGAGTTGACAGTCTTGTCACACTGCGCCCTCAGGGAGGTGAGAGAGAAAGAGGCTGGTACTCCTATTTCACGGATGGGGACAGGGACGTGTTTCTCCAGGACGATGAGGGCAAAGAAAGCAAGTGGGGGGGTTGCACTGTTGATTCAGTTACAGTCAAAGAATCTTCTACTCTGTGAAAGAAAACTGCCACACAGCACATTGCCCTGTGGCTCCGAATGCCAGCAAACAGGGAGCAGCATGGCCAGGCTGTGTGCCCTCCCTCCACTATCCTGTGCCACCCTCAACATTGCAGTCCTGTCGGCCACAGCCACAGCTTTCTCCCAAAGGAGGACCAATGTGAGCAGCCATGGGGAACACATGGGAGGACAGGAAGCAGCTAAGTGACAAGGGAGGGTGTCACCCCCTCCCCAGAGCTCAGCAGGCAGCAAGAAGGGGGTGGTTGGCAGTCCCCCCCTCCACAGACACTCACATCCCTGAAACCATTTGCTTTTTTTGGCTTGAAAAAACCTCAGATGATAGGCACACACCTCAACAAAGCAGCTGTTCTCAGAGGTTCTGTTTCTATGGGAGCGATCATCTCTTCGAGATGTTTTCTCTAAAGGAGCAACTTTGCACAGGCCACTCAGGGCCAGGCAGATGACGTACCTGCTAGCATCAGGGCACGGACGCACTCTGTTCGGCCCTGCATGGCAGCTTTCATGAGGGCTGTGAAGCCGAAAACGTTCCTCCTTTCAAGGTCAAGACCAGGGAAATAGTTCAACAAGTAGTTGGTGATGGTGGCGTGCCCTGAAAGAGAAATAGACATGCATATAGATTCATGTGCCCACAAAAAGTGTTACTCCTAAAAGGTTGGGGGGGGGGGAGGAAGGAAGAGGTAGAGGGAGGGAGGGAGGGAGGAATAGGGAAAGAAAGAGAGAGAGAGAGAGAGAAGTATGTTGTGTCATCCATCCTGGCCAGCCAGATCCGCAGACAGAATTCTCCTGAAGCCCAAAAAGCAGGGGGGATGGGGAGGCAGAGGACGCAGCTGGCCACCTGCTGCAGCTTCAATTCACCGTGGCCCTCCAGCCACCCATCTGGGTGGTGCACAGTCCCAACAGGCTGCAGAGGAGGCAGTGGGAGCTCAGAGGCTGCAGCCGTGAGGACAGAGCAGCTTCACTTCACAGACAGACAGACAGGTGGACAGGCTAGGCTGTCAGCTCCCAGCAGGAGCCACCTAAGCAAAGGCTGCACAGATGCAAAGGAGCCTTGGATCCATTTGCAAGTGCTCCAGAGCTTCAGAGCGCAGAAAGTCAGCGTCCTAGCAGGAGGAGGTGCCAATTCACAAGGGCACTTACCTACATTACCATTCAGAAGCACCCGTCTGTGTCTCTCCATTTCTCTCTCTCTCTCTCTCTCTCACACACACACACACAGACTGCAGCGTTGCAGTCAAGGTCCTCAGCCACACACCTAAGTGAGAACACTCACTTGAGAATGTAGGTTTCTCCCTTCTCACTTTGCGCCTCCTCCCCTGCTTATGCCAAGAAAGCCCAGGCGCTCTCAGAGGTGATGAGAGCAGCAAGGTATACAAGGATCCACTCTGCCCTCAAATAGGGGCCCCTGAGTCCCTCATAAATGCCCCTGGAAGCCAAATAGCCCCCTCCCCTTCTTAGTCCTCCGTGGGTCCTCCCACCCACCTCAGGGCCCTGGCCTGGCAGCCTTGGCCTGGGGCTGGATGACTGTTCCCAGTGGGACTGTCCAGCACACTGCTTAGCAAAACCTTGACCTCCACTCACTAGAGGACAGTAGCAATCAAACCCCTTTCCCTGTCCGGACTGTGGGGACCAAAAACAGGCCTGGACATTGCCATATGTTCCCTGGGTGGGGGTGGAGGGGGTTGCAAAATCACCCAGTTGCAAACCACTGCCCTACAGGCTCTGTCTTCACCAGTTCACGACCAGCCACACCAGGTGGAAGGGAAGATAGCTTCCTCTCCACATCCCCTGCACCCTGCACCCTTCTGGCCCCCTCCCCTAGACGCCTTCTCCATCCTGACCTGCAGATGATGGCGAATGTGTCCCAGCCATGTGAGCAGTGTGCGGAAGTCCCTCCTTCTGAACCCCAGGGGAGGTTCCCACCCCATCCTTGTACACCAAAGACCTGAAAGTCTCTGCTCACCCTGCTCTGCCGTGTCCCTTTCAACCCCACTGGGAAGGTCACAGGTCTGAGGCCTCCTGGACGTGTCAGTACATTGGTGATTACTTGACATCATTCCCTACCCCCCCACCCAGAGAAGCCTCTGGAAATTGAGCAGGCAGGACTCCCATGTCCCAGAATCCCCTTCCCAGGCTGATTTCAGGACAGAGCTTCCGACAGGTGGCACCACATGAGATTCGGGACATGGGAAGATGAGGCCAGGACATCTCTCTCCTGAGGTGGAGGGGTCGTGAGCATGAGGGGCTTAGGAAACTTGCCCCCTTTGCCTGCAGATGGAGAGGGCTGAGTGAGCTTTAGGCTGGCCTGGCTCCGAGAAGCCCCACTTCCCTGCTGTGACAGAAACCTCTCGGGGTTGGGTGTCCTTGGTCTTCAACCCCCACCCCTCCCGCCAAGCCCTTTCAGTGCTGTGCAAACCAGACATAGATGTTAAACCCTCCCAGTGTACTAAGCAGCTTCTGTCTACCAGCCACACCCTGATGGACTCAGCTGTCCAGGCTGGAGCCCAGCATCTCCTTTGGACAGAAGAGTGAAACTCCAGGCTGCTGACCATCCCCCTCCTCCCCCAATATTAAATCATGGGAATTTACTTACTCTAATCAACTTCCAAGTTAAAAACCAACAGGCAACTCACCGTGGAAATTAAAAGGTGAACCACGTACCTTTCTGAGAGTCACAGAGTCAACAGCAGGCGACAAATGGCTGTGACACTGACTATGTAACATAGGTTTCCAATGGTGATGGTGCCTTGTGGACTCAGTGACACAATTTGACCCTCCTTTGTGAGTGGGGGGAGAGAAAAGGGGAGCAGGAACCCCAAGCTTCCTTTGATCTCAATTTAGCTGTGGTTCATATAACGCTTGCAGCACCTGTCAGTTAGAGTCAGCCGAGGTCTTAGTGAAAAGAATTGCAATTCGTTTAGAGCCATTTCTTTAAAATGTGAACTAGCGTGTCAGTCCCAATTTTCAACAGGACGTTCTCTGCTGTGATACACCCTCGGTAGCTTGCACAGGCAGGGAAGGGAGAAATTGAAAATCCATGAAGCAAACTGCCCATTATACAGGTCTGTTCTGCATACCATGTTGAGTTCAGAAAAACCAACATGCAGCAAGGCGATCAGTCTGCAGGCTGCAGAAATCACTCCTGCTTCTACTGGCTTTTCCAGAAGGCAGACAAATATTCTATCACACAACGACCGTGTTCAATGGAAATCACAGGTGAACCTGAAGCCTCTAAGAATGTATAAATATTAACCCTTCTTAAAAAGACATGACTAGTAACCAAAGGGAGTTGCTGGTGTGTGTATGTGTATATGTGAGAGAGAGAGTTCGATAGACAGACAGACAGACAATCTACATTACACACATAGCCTTTCTTACATAACAGAACCCAAATATGCACCATATGGAAGTCTAGTTTGAGCCCAGCCCAATTTAGACATTATGGAATGGTCGTAGTTTCTGAAATTCTCAGAGACATCTTTTTAAAAGGTGGGCTACCACAGAGACTCCAAGGACACCCCATGTCCCCTAGCGATCCTTACTCTGCCCAAGAGAAGGGCACAGGTGACCCAGGGATCACATGAACTTGGGTGAATTAGCACCAGTGGCACACAGCATAGACAAAGAGCTTACCACTGCCCCTAAGAGAGTCGGCTCTGAGAACACTGAAGTTCAAGTCCCAGACCTGCCACTCAAATTCCCAGGTGACCTGGTGACCGTGGGCGGGGAAGCCAACTTTAAAATGGGAGGCGATGTTGTGTGGGAGCCTCACCTCTGCCCCTAAGAAAGCTGTGCCTGCTCACCGCACCCAGGAAGACGACAGAAGAAAGGCTGGGAGCACAGCTGTCCAGTCAAAGGGCCCAAGTGCAGCACCCCAGCTTAGCCACAGACACAGCAAGAGCGATCAAGATCAACTGAACCCCAGCCCGTCCACAGAAGCAATAAAAATGAGCCATTAAAATGTATGAAACTAGGTTTTGGGTTTTTTTGTTACGTGGCAGTAGCTAGTTGATATGCTTGTTCAAGGGTCTCTCATCTTTTTTATTGGGGGGGGCTCATGCTTGTGCTCTAATAATTAAGCCACGCCCTTTTTGCTTTAGGTTATTTGTTTTTTGGTAGTACTGGGGTTTAAACTCAGGGCTTCAGGCTTGCTAGGCACACTACCCTTGAGCTACTCTGCTAGTCCTTTTTTCTGTTGGGTATTTCAAGACAGGATCCCAGTTTCATTTTTGCACAGGCTGGCTATAACCAACAGTAGCTAGGATTACAGATACAAGCCACCAGTGCCTGGCTTACATTATTTTTTTAGATGGTGTCTCACTTTTTCTCCCCAAGGATGTGATCCTCCTACTTTCAGCCTCCCATGTAGTTGGGATCACAAGTGTGCATCACCACTCCCAGCCTGTTTTGTTAAGATGGGGTCTCACTAACATTTTGCCTGGGCTGGCCTTGGACCTCCATCCTCCCAATTTCCACTTCCAGAGTACCAAAGATTGTAGGGGTGAACTACTGCACCCTGCTAAGGGTCCCTCATCTTAAAAACATCTATTATCCACAATATCCCTGTGAGCCTGTGCTCAAATATGGCCACCCACTAGCAATCACTCCTTTTCAGCCATGTACTCTCAGTCTTGGTACTGACACTTCTGAATTCTGCTCAAGCCACCTCCCACACACAGCTCCCCAGGACCCTCTGGTAGTCAGTTCAGTGGTTGCCAGTTCTTAGTTATGTGACTTCCCTCTTCATTCATGAAACCTTCTTCCCATGGACCCCTAAAGACACGCCCTGCTGACCTCCTCCTCAAACTTCTGTATGAACTCCACTCTCTCTTTCCTGAAATGCTGCTGTTCCTCCGGTGCCTGGCGAAGCCCTCCATGGGTCCAGTTATCCACTCTATACCCCGGACTCAACCATCTCTAGCGCTGTCTCTTCTTGAGTTTCTCACATCTGTCTGCTGGAGAGTTCATCATGGCTGTCCCACAAAACAAGTCAAACTCGATGCTCAAACCTGAAACACCTTTCCTCCAAACCCCTCCTCTCCACAGTCCTTATTTGCAGTGACCACCACCAACCACCCAAGCCACAAGTCCAGGCTTTGTCCCAAACCCTCCCAACATCTCCATCAATCAATCAGCTCTTCCCTACCTTCCATCTGGGCCTTGCTTCTCTGTCCCCACATCTACACCCTGACCCGGAAACCATGTCCCCACTGGGCTGCAGCCCCCTCCTGCCCTGGCCAGCCCCACAGCAAGAGAACTCCAGGAAAAGCCCCTCCAGTCCTGGCAGCCATGACTAATCTGAACCCCCGGTGGATCTGGCACTTTCCATGACGTGTTACCTTTTTAATGAGCTTTATTGTCCTCTTTACCCTCAGCTCTAGCCACCAAAGCCTTTCCCTACCTTGTGACCTCAAAGTTTTGTTTTAATTCCCTAGGTTAGACTTCTCTAACCTACAAGTCTCTGAACACACTAGTCCCTCCGCCTGGAATATTCCTGCCTCCACTATCTGGCTACCTGATGAGCCAGATAAGGCCCTGGTCTCTTGCCAGGATTAGGCTACTGACCCAGGAGGTCCCATTGTCGACAAGGGC